TTTAAAGCATGGATAAATTTAAGATTTCAGGATGGGTCAGTGTGATTTGGAGAATGAAAGCAGTTGCTTTTGGGGGAAGGATACAGGTCATGAAAAAATAACTCATGGGGAGAGGATTAGGAACCTCTCAGTAAGGCATGTGAAAGCAATGTTGATATAACAGACAGGAAGAAGACATTTACTGAGCACCTGCTACATACTAACAGTGTATTAGCTACTGCATTTCAGTTTCTCATTTGATTCTTATAGTCACCCTGCTGGAGAGGCACTCATTTCGATTTTACACAAGCGGTCTAGAGATGTCATGTGGTTTGATGCAGACCACACAGTGTGAGTGATTTGTTTGATTCCAAAGCCCATATGTGTTCTTTACCGGTCTGACTCAGGGGAAACCAACCACAGTGACAATAAGTAGAGACAGATACTTGAAAATTGTCAAGGAGATGGATATTTGAAGACACAAAAGTTGTTGTTTGATATAGAAAGTACAGCTAGCAAGAGTCATTTATGTCCCACTTATGCCTAATTACCATATAACACAATAATGATTATGATGAAATATCTGACAGATGAGTTGGCTGTGCATTTTACTTGATCCAAACAGAACGTACAGCACATATGGGCTCTTCATCATTTCTTGCCCACACGGCATGGTCATTTCTTTGGTCACAAGTTTCAGGCCACCACCTGTAGTCTAGCCATAAAACAAGGTAGAGCCACGTACAGTCTTTACATTATTGTTGACAAGAGAATAATCCATTGATTTGCTAATTGTCCCTTCCTGCTGTGGACAGGTATCATTAGGAAAAACATACATTTAGGCTTCAGTGACTACAAGTTCCTGCTTTGATTATTGAATTTGGTGAGACTTGTTTTTAAATTTTGTGATTAGCTGAATGTCTAGGCCCACAGTGAGTGAGCAAATTAACTGATTCTTTCTTGGAGAGAGAAAGGACGTTGCGTAAAATGGCAAGGATGGGGATATGGATGACAGGGAGATGCAGCTGTAATGAATCAGGAAGCAGTGGATTAGGATTCAGAAAACCTGGTTTTGCTATTATTTGCTATGTATCTGTAACCTATGCATATTACTTTTTAAATCCCTAAAGTGAGAATAATATCTGTCTTATTTGGCATGTTTTGGTCCCTTAATGCAAACCCTGAGAGAAGAATTTTGAGTGAAGATTCTTTATTTTGGAGCTGATCCAAGGAAGCACAGTGAAGTAACTGATGAGCAAGTGGGAGCTATGGGCAATTGGGGGTCAATACTATGAGGATGCTGTATTGTTATCTACTGCTATGTAACCCGAAATTTAGTGGTTTAGAACAACAAATATTTACTGCATTCGCATTTTTTTTACAACTAGAATTTGGAGTGGCTAATCCAGGTGGTTTTGGCTCAGCACTGATCTCACATGAAGTTATATATAGTTAAGATATTTTTAGTCAAAGCTGCAATAATCTGAAGGCACGAGTGGGGTTGGATGATCCATTTCCAAGGTGGCTCAGCCATGTAGCTTGTGAACTGGTGATGGTCATTGGCAGGAGACCTCAGTTCCTATCTGTAGCAACAACTTCTCCACAAGCTGCTAGAGTGTTCCCATGATGTGAAGGTTGACTTTTCCCAGTAGAAGTGATGCCGAAGAGAAGTAGCCTTCTTATGACCTAGCTTTGGTCGTAAGTGATACTATGATGACATAGCATCACTGGCATTTTCCGGTCAATCAAAGTGAGTCAGTATAGCCCAGGTTCAAGGGGAAGAAACTCAGTCTCTTGAAGAAAGAAGGTTTGAAGAGTTTGTTAACATGTTTTAGAACTACCACACACCGTATGTGGTACACACTTCAGAATTTTTATTTTCCCTGAGAGTAAAAGAAACTGTTGTTGATCGGTTGAAGATACTGAGTGGTGTGCTGCAGACAGAAGTGAGTGAAACTGAGAGAGAGATAGAGATCTTCTCCTGTTCCGAAGGAGATATAGGAGGTTAAGAAATACTCTCTGAGGTTCTAGGGTTGCTGAAGAGCACTGATGATAAGCTGCACTGACACAGATTGATTCCTGTCTGCAAGAACCAATGGTGCCCACTTAACTGAAGGCCAGAAGAGATATCTGAGCTCAATTTGCCTAGCTTTTAACAATCTCCATTTATCATGACCGGAAGAACCTGCCTCTCTTACCTTTGTATTCTTCAGCTGAACATGGGACTAAGGATTTTGTTCTATTTCCTAAGACCCCCTTGCTTGGACTAGCAGATTATTTCCAAATGTTGTATAAATGGGAGGTATTTATAAACACATACACATACACTTCTATCCACAAAGACAAATGCACTCCTCTCTGCTTTGCTATTTCTGGTGCTAACCTTCATTTATAATGCCATGTTTATGTAATTACACTGCTGCAGCAGCGGATCATGATTTCAAAATACAATCATAATCACCGTCAGAAGAAAGTTGAGAGAAGATGAAAAACAAATGCAAAAAAATTAGAAAGGAGGAGTTTTCCCACTGCATGAGTTTTCCCACTGCCTCCTCCTATGCTTGGGCCTTGGGATGCTCTGCCTCTAGCCATGTGTGTGTGTGGGGGGACGTGCGTGCCTGTGTGTGTGTGTGACCGAATATGTGTGTATTGACATTTTTGCTCTTATTATGAATCTGGGCCTGGGACTAGAGTGTGTATACTCACTGAAGTGGCTTATTACTTGGAGAATACCATCCTTCTGCTTGATTGGATTTTTCTGTTTAAGCCTCTGTGGTTTTAGTGGTCAGAGGGTCTTGGCCACAAAGTTTATTTTATGACCCGTGTACCACCCTTCACATCTCCCCCTATAAGAACACTTTTAGTATGTGACTTCCACAGTAGTATTTTTTTTAAGGTTTTCTATGTTTGAAAAATAATTTTCCACTTCCAGAATTTACCTGTCCCTCCCATCCCTGCTTTCCCAATTCTGCTCCTTCCATTATCTTTTTGCAGCACCCCTCCACCTCCATCACTACCAAGATGCCTGAAAATTCGATAACATCCTATTATCTCTGCTGGGCAACTTGCCAGCTAGCACCTCAGAGGTCTGGGTCGCTTTGTGCCAGGGACACTGCCTTTCTTGCTTGTTGCATTCTTGCAGACCTGTGGAAATACTGACTCCCTTTGCACTTCCTGGAAAGCCATTCTTAGTACTGATTCTTTTAATTTTTCTTTTTTCCATTTCTGGCTTGGGGGTACCATGAAGAGACAATATATTTCACCAAATCTTAAAACCTTAAAGTAATTTGTGCATCCAATTTGGGGGCTCTCTTTTTCTTCCAGAAAGTTCCCTGAGGCTATCTCACATAAAATCTTACTTTGAATAAGGTATTTGGACACATTGATGAAAACGTTCCTTTAGTGCATTGTTGTTTGCCAGATCAAGGAAAAAGACACCAGGAGAAAGGGAGGGAATATTTTAAGTTTGTTTTTGGCTGTGACTTCAAGGAGTAATAATCACCCATTACTTAGGATCAAAATCTTCCAATGACTCAAGAGCACGTGTTTTTATCATCTACTTTCTAGGTTCTCATTCTGTTTATCCCGTGTTACTCTGCTCCTGTGAGAGTTGGGGAGCAAGGAAAAATGTAAGGAAGGGGTAGTGGTAGAGAATTTAAATGCGAAGTCTGGTTCCTTTTTATTTTTTCAGAAGATGCCACACGTACAAGTCTATGAGTATCTCAACAAATCTGCCTCCCACATCCAATGCATCTTTTATATTGACAAGAAGAGGTGGTTGGAAATGTCATCTGTAGCCAGCCTATATCCTGTCAGTGTGAAGATTTTATTCTTGTGACTTTATACTTCTCAAAATCTTTTTAAGGGTCACTGGAGGGTGATCTTTTGTTTAAGAGACGGGTTAGCAGAGGGAGTGTGTTTGTGCCTCTTGGTCTATAATAATCATGGCTGATGTCACAGTTAGAAAATAGGCCCATTTCAGAAAATTGTTTTAATTTATTAATTAAATAAGAAATAATAATCATTAGTTTATTTTAAACTTTAAAAATTAAATATGAATTTTTAATATGGATCCCTTTTACTGATTTAGGGCAAAGAGACCTTCTTTCACTAGGAATTTTTTTCCTCTAAATCAATTCACCACCTCTTGTATCATCTCTGGCTTCTGAAATCTTGCTCCTGTTTTAACAGTTGGCTCAGGATTTCCTGTCTACCGTTTCTTCCATCACTGATAGACTTCCCCTTAAAATCGGCAGTGACCGCACATACTCTGATAAATTAACTGCTGAGGATTGCTGTGTTAGAGGTATGGGGTGGAATCTAGCGAAGTGTAGCAAATCATTTTTATCTCCTACTCCCTATTAAGCAGTAGCTGTTATTCCATTATCTGTGTTTTGAATCTGTTTGATCCTCAAAGTCTAAAAGTAGCTTCTGTGCAGGTCTATGGTGCTATGGCTGTCCCTTGCTGCTATAAATTCCTCTGGTTGAGCCACATCCGCTTGCCACATCCTGAAAATACACTCAATTATATTTTCCCATGCACACCTATATATGGTGGCCTGTAGTGACATTAATTTTTTTTTTTTTTTCTTTTTTGAGTTGGAGTTTCACTCTTGTCACCCAGGCTGGAGTGCAGTGTCGTGATCTCGGCTCACTGAAACCTCAGCCTCTCGGGTTCAGGCGATTCTCCTGCCTCAGCCTCCTGAGGTGCCACAATGCCTGGCTATTTTTTTGTATTTTTGGTAGACAGAGTTTTACCACGTTGGCCAGGCTGGTCTCGAACTCCTGACCTCAGGTGATCTACCTGCCTTGGCCTCCCAAAGTGCTGGGATTACAGGCGTGAGCCACCGCACCCGGCCAACATTACTTCTATATACAATTATTTTTCCCTTCCTCACAAACTCGCCAGTTCTGAATTAACAGCAAGTACAACATTGCCGTTTCTCCCACACCATGCTGACCTTGTTGTTTCTTATTTAGCTAATGATGTGTTACAGTTGGCATTTCACTGGGAGGTTTACAAGAGTCAGTCTCTCTAGCGCTACAATTAGATTCAACGAGAGAGAAGAGTGCTGTGATGGGAAGACTTTCATTCTCAGACATTATTTCTATCTGGGCATTTTGAAAAGATAAAGGGCTTGTTGTCATTATGCCTCCATCTGACAACTTGGTCAATGTATCCTTCATGAAGCTCAGCTTGAATAGGGAAAAACAAGGGAATTGCGAGGGTACATTTCTTCTTCTGATGGCAGGACTCTAATCGTTCTGCCTTGTTGTCTTTAGGCAAGGAAGGGAGAAGACAGGAAGAGGAAGAAGAGAGAACGTAAAAGGTAGGCAAAGGGAATGGCTGGTATGTGCTCGTACCTGAGGCAGGAACAGGTTGGGGTCAGTACAATGCAATCAGGTTTCTTATGTCTCCTTCCTTCTGTTCTTGCTACTGACTTTGCTTTCTCCTAATTCTGGCTTGCTTGTGATTCCTCATGGCTTCTAAAGGTATTTCATGGCCTTCTTTGATGTACACGGTCATCATCCTCATTTCCTGTTTCAAGTATCCTCATTTCCTTTGTTCTGACTGGCATAACTTGTTTTTTTACCTGTGGCCACTCCAGAGGTCATGGAGAGGCTATGGCTTGGCTGCTCTCGCCTTAGATTTGCACCCCTGACTGAGACCTGAATCGCCAGGCTGCGTGACATAAAACATATCCTCCTGGGGCTACATGTTCTGCGGGGGCTGTGGGTAGAACATTCTGGGGTAAGGTAGGTGGCAGCCAATCTTACCTTAGGTTCTCCAACACGGCAAACACACACTATTCATGCTTGTAATTAATTTTGTAGCCTACGTGAACATAAGGCAAAAGAGCCCACAGAGTGATCTAGCACATGGCAGTTGTAGGATGCCGGTTGCTGATACATTTGGTTCAAAACGAAAGCCTTCTGTGTTAAATCCACGGCAGGAAACAACAGCTACAAACAAAAAATTGTCAACAGTGATTTTACCCATGAAAACATAGATAAACAATCATTTATGCGCTCAAAGAACGAATAAAAGATCAAAGTTGGAATAACAGAACACAGAACCTTTTGTTCCCCTTTTTCTGCTTGAGCAAAAATCACCCAAGGACTAGAAAGTTCACTATTCTATTGCTTCTTATATGTGAATGCAAACATCCATAGGCCAGAAGTCAGGTGAGGTTTTTCCTGCCCCTTGAGATCTATGTAAATTTACCTTTATGGGCCAAAGAGCTTTACCTCCAAGATTTCTGTGACTTTCTAGAACGGCAATGGCAGTAGATGAGTGATTGTGTCCTGCTGGCTTTCTGTACCACTTGGGTTCAGCTACCTCGAGTGTGCCTTTGTTCTGTAATTTGTCCACTCTGATAGGACACTGCTGCTTTGGGGAGGGGTTCCCCCTCTCCCACAGCCCTATCTCTTACCTGTCTCTTCCAGATTTCTCTAGATGGCTCGAGATCTTCCATTTCTATTTCTCCTATTTTGCAGAGCAACTCAACTCTCCCTCCACATTTCTCCCTGGTTTTAACGCCTTAACCCTCAAAACAACAACAAAAACCAAAAAAACTAAACAGAACTGAGGGACTTCCATTAGATCTCTATGCTTCTAAGGAGGCAGTAGGCATTATATAATAACTTGCACTTAGATAGCAAACAAGCTATATAGTACTTTATAAAAACCCCACCAAAATGTGAGATTAGAACCGTTATCTCACCTTTGTCAGTGAGAAAACTTGAGTCCTGAAGTTAAGTGAAGAACTTGGGATCACTACACAACTAGTGTGGCAGCTTAAGTGCCAGTGTGAAAGTTATGCTAGGTTCTGGTAGATTCAAGGAATGCCATAGGTTTTGTATACTTGTATTTCAACAAGACTTTGTATCAATCTGTCAACACATCTTTGATGGAACTAATGGATCTATGTTCCTGGACAATTGGGTGGGTCTGTTTCTGGCTGAATGGCCATCACCAGAGAGTGCTTATTAGTGAATCGCTATCAAATGAGAAAAAGTTAGAATGGATTTTTGGCACTTAGTGGCATCCAAATACTCAAGACCTTTCCTGACAGTGTCCTGAATTCATGTGGGGCAGGAAGTGCAGGTGGAATCCTTCTATTACAGATGCTAAAGCATCTCTTTGGCCACATCCTTCTTCTTACTGCCCTGGTACAGCCAGGAATCAATCATGAGAGCTGAGCTCAGCAAAGAAGAGCTTTCTCTGGGCTCTGCAAATCTTAAATAGAGTGACAAACAGATGATAATTAGAGTGTATTTGTTCCAGAGACAGCCTCCTAGGCTAGACTGTCATGTACCTGATTTTGGTTCTAACTGGTTCTCTTGTTCCCAGGCATGGTTCTTTGGCTTTCTTTTGATTTCCTAGAATGTGTTTTTGTGAACTGTAACCAAAGGACCTAAACGAGAACAGATTTCTCTAGTGGCACGTCAAATTCTGGCCATGGCTCTTTATCTTGTTTGCCATTTTTAAAAAATATCTGAGATTAAAATGCAGATTATATTAGGGACTGGAATGATGACAACAAATGGGAATGATGGATTAAAAATAGGCAAAATATGACTGATAAAGATGACGGCAGATTGGCATTTTAGATGCTGAAATCTATCTGCACACGCTGAGTTAGGTAAGTGGTAGAAGCTTACATTACAGAACTAATAGCAACACTCCCATTTAAGGTCTACATTGGAAAGAATCCCAAAATTGGGACATTGAGGCTGAAGGTGACTCAGCTAACGCCTGGTGGTAGCAGAATTCAAACACAAGTTCTGGGTTTTTCCCTGAGGTTACAGGTAGTAGCCAAAGCTACAAGCACAGAGGATTTAGCCAGAGCCAGAACCAGCAAGGGCAGTTCTGGGGTCCAAAGGCTGTGGTGAACTCAGGTATGAGCCAGGGGGCATTTTAATCCAGGGACGGAGGCAAAGCAACCTGCAGGGGAAAGTTAAAATCAAGGTGGTGCTTTATGTATTGCTAAATACAATGTAGCAAATGTGTCAGTTCTCCCCGAAACCATCTGTAGGCTTAATGGAAATCTTATCAAAGTCCTAGTATGATTTTTTTTTAATTTTTAAAATTATGGTAAGATACGCGTAACATAAAATTTACCATCCTGTTTTATATATACACTGAAATGGTACTAAATACATCATAATACACAACCATTCCCATTATCCATCCCCATAGGTCCTTTCATTTTGTAGAACTGAAACTTTATATCTGTTAAAAACAACTTTCCATTCTCACTGTTCCCCAGTCCCTGGCAACCATCATTCTACTCTCTGTTTCTATGAATTTGGCAACTCTAAGAACCTGCTATAAATGGAAGCATATAGTATCTGTAATTTTGTGATTGGCTTACTTCACTTAGCCTGTCATTTTAACGGCTCATCCATGTTGTAGCATAAGTCAGAATTTCCTTCCTTTTTAAGGTTGAATAATACTCCATTGCATGTATGTACCACATTTTGCTTATTCATTATTGGTTGGTGAACACTGGATTGCTTCCACATTTAGCTGCATGAACACGGATGTACAAATATATTTTGGAGACTCTGCCTCAAATTCTTTTGAATAAATACTCAGAAGCGGAATTGCTGGGTCATATGGTAATATTATGTTTTTGTTTTTGTTTTTTGAGGAGCTGCTGTGATGTTTTCCAGAGGGGCTGTACCATTTTATAGCCCCACCACCAATGCGTAAGGATTCCCATTTCTCCACTTATTATTTTCTGTGTTTTTTTTTTTTTTTTTTTTTTTTTTTTTGGTAGTAGCCATCCTAATGGATGTGAGGTGAGATTATTATAGTTTTGATTTACATTTCCCTAATGATTAGTCATGATGAGCATCTTTTATATACTTATTGGTCATTTGTATAATCTTCTTTGGAGAAATAGCCACTGATGTCCTTTTCCCATTTTAAAAATTAAGAGTTTTTGTTGTAGTGGCTGATTTGGGGAGTTCTCTGTATGTTTTGAATATTAATCCCTTATCACATATATGATTTACAAGTACTTTTTTCTCCTTCTGCGAGTTGCCTTTTTTAACCTTGTTGATAGTGTCTTTCAATGCACAATTAAAAAATAAGTTTTATGAACTCCAATTTGTTTATTTCTTCTTTCATTGCCTGTCTCTTAGGTGTCATATCCAAGAAGTCATTGCTGAATCCAATGTCTTACAGCTTCATTCTATGCTTTCTTCTAAAAGTTTTATAGATTGAGGTCTTGCATAAGGTATTGATTCCTTTTGAATTAATTTTTGTATATGTTGTTAGGAAAGGGTGGAACTTCCATGTGGATATCCAGCCCAGCATAGTTAAAAAAAAAAACAGCAAAAAGACTTTATTTTCCACTTTCTAATTCTCCTAGAACCATTCTCATTAACATCCATTTTTATTTTATTTTATTGTTATACTTTAAATTCTGAGATACATGTGCAGAATGTGCAGGTTTGTTACATAGGTATACATATGACATGATGGTTTGCTGCGCCCATCAACCCATCATCTACATTAGGTATTTCTCCTAATGCTATTCCTTCCCTACTCCCCATCCTCCACCAGGTCCTGGTGTGTGATGTTCTTCTCCCTGTGTCCATGTGTTACTGTTCAACTCCCACTTATGAGTGAGAACACCAGCATAGTTTTTAATAGACATAGGCAAGTTTATTTTAAAGTTCACATGGAAATGCACAGCACCTAGAATAGCTAAAATATTTTTAAAAGAATAACTAATTGGAGAAAATTGCCTGATGTTAATTCTTACTATATAGCTTTAGTAATCAAGACAATGTAGTGTTTGTAGAGGAACAGACATGTAGATCAATGGAACAGAACAGAGAACACAGACACAGGCCCATATAGACATGTCTGATTTTTGGATTATTCTCACATTGCTAATAAAGACATACCCAAGACTGGGTAATTTATAAGGAAAAAGAGGGTTAATGAACTCACAGTTTCACATAACTAGGGAGGCCTCACAATCATGGCAGAAGGCAAAGGAGGAGCAAAGGCATGTCTTCCATGGTGGCAGGCAAGAGAGCATATGCAGGGGAACTGCCCTTTATAAAACCATCAGATCTCATGAGATTTATTCACTATCATGAGAACAGTGTGGGAAAAACCTGTCCCCATGATTCATCTACCTCCTACTGGGTCCCTCTCGACATGTGGGGATTATGGAAGCTACAATTCAAGATCAGATTTGGGTGGTGACACAACCATATCACTGACGAAGGTGGAAAAACAATTCAGTGGGTGAAAATGGTCTTTTCAACAAATGGTCTTGGAGCAATTGGACATTCATAGGCAAAC